TATATATTGCAATGATGACACATAAGGACACGTTATGTTTTCAAACTATGCGCATAATCTCACATAAAACACATCTTGACAAACAGTCACTCGCTTTGGACGTTGTGAACGCGCCTTAGCGTACATGAGAAATTACTGAATTGAAAAAGTCTGGAATCGCTTAATTAAATTGATTTTTGATTAATTTAACACGTATGATTTACTTGAAATATTGTGTATTTTATCTAATGTTTTGTTTAAGAAAACAAATACGCGAATACTTTGAAGAAAATAGAAAAATTATAAGCATAAGAAGTATTTTGTTCTGCGACGTATTGTCACATGTAAGACCCGATTTCTTTGATGTATCGATAAAAAGCAGAACATAATTAAATTAGTTTTCGAATAATTTGACAGATATTTTCATTTACCTGAAATCCTGCAATATATTCTACCTAAAACATACTTTAACACATTATCTTTAACAAGATGGAAAAATTTCTGTATAACATATAAAGCATCTCGTTTTGCGAAGTATTGTCACATATAAGAAGCCGATTTCCTTTGTTCTAAGGTCTTGCGGTATTTTAACTAATCAATTCTTTACAAATTAATGCACAAATATCTTAAAAAAATAAAAAATTTCAACATAAGAAATATCACGCACTGCAACGTATTATGACATGCAAGACCCCAATCAGCACACAATATTTTTTAAAAGTTTTTTAAATGTTTTTTAAATGTTTTTTTTCATTTCCTAAACTCATTTTGGAAAAAATATTTATTTAACATTTATTTAATATTTTTTTAATTAAATATTCGTTTAGAATAATGATTTCTAAAAAACGTTGTTTAAACGTTTATTTAATACCTTTAAAATATTTATTTAACATTAATTTTACATTTGAATAATGATTTGAGTATACATTTTTTAAACGTTTATTTAATATATTTAAATATTTATTTAACGTTAATTTTACATTTAAAATAATGATTTGAGTATACATTTTTTAAATGTTTATTTAATATTTTTAAAATATTTATTTAACGTTAATTTTACATTTAACATAATGTTATTTTGTGTCGTTATGTTAATATTGATTTTAATAAAATACAATCTGATTAAGAAAAATATTATAAAGTGTAAGTGTGTGTGTGTGAGAGTCTGTGTGAAATGAAATGATATATGAGTGAGATACAGAGTGTCGGGATCGTGAAATAGGGATCTTGGAAATGATTATCGACGTCTGTCGTGGAGAGGCATCATGTTTCCGCAGACTGCTACATGTTTCTCACATTGAAAATTTTGTCAAGCTCTCTACGCTTCTTCAAATCATTTAGTTTCAATCCGTATAG